CCCCTTCCTGGGCGAAGACGTGTTCTATCATGATGCTGAAGAGTGTGATGCTGAGCAACCGGTGCATGGTTAGCCTGGAAAGAAAGAGAAGTATATTTTAACGTTTCTTGTCTACTTATATGTAATTTTTTACAAATAAAGGAGGATTTAATTAATGCTGCTGACAATGCCACTCTTGTAGCAGAGTTTTGGGCTGACACTGTTTAGGTTTGTTGTCGACACGACAAGAAGAATAAGAATATTATAATAATATTATTCACAAATTAAATATTTATTTTCATGAAGTGGATAACACTTTTTATAAGTGACTTAAAAATAATTCGAGAAGTTCAACTCCCAATACCACTTATTTATTGTTAGATACCATCTTACTTTGATCGTAACTATAACGAACGAGAACTGGTGTTTTTTGTATGGAGTTTGACAGATTTTTGACGTTTATCAAAGTTAAAGTAAGATGGTGCAACCCAGCCTTAAACATAGTTCAAGTTACGCCTCGAGGTTGAAGTATAGCGCTACTTGTATCATAATTAAATTCATAATAAAAGTCACATTAATCATTATTATTCACAAATTTCACACAAACATTTCACATTCAGTCCCGTTGCCATTCCTCGGTCAGAAAATTATTAGTGAACATCATTTTAACACAATGAAATCGTGTATTTACAAATAAATGTGTGATGTTATATTGTTTCAAACATTTCAAATCACATCGCATTGATACCAGGCATTCATTGACATGCCATTGCAAATCTGATTTAAGTGGAAACAGTTTATTTTCCCTTAAAAATGTACATCAAAAAATATTGAAACCACTCAGCAAAATGGAAAATGATTTAGCTCTGGCCCACAACCGTGGAACCGGGCTTAAACTCGCGTTTAGTAATTCCACTGTAAAATTTATAACCGAAGAGCTTCTGTAAGAGCTCATATGCCAAATGGGGTGTTTTTTTTGCGTTTAGTTTCAAATTCAACGGCGAGTGGCTGGGGTAAACGCGCGTTGAATACGAACGTTTGTTTTGTGAACATTTTCGTTTATTGACATACTAGGTTGTGCTCGCGACTTCGTTCGTGTAATACTTGAGTACGGATAGTAGGCTTAAAGCAGTAGAATCTATATTTAATGTCTTCTTATCTAATTTGCATGCTATGAAGATTTTCATCTTTTAAGTATTTATTGAAATAGAAGTCCATCCTTTCAATATTCATTATTTTATCCTGTGAAAACTCAAGCTCTTTCTGAGTTTCCCTAACTCCCAATCTATTTCTATGTCAAAATTCACCAACAAAGATTCGGCAGTTAAACTGCAAAATAGTGACAAATTGACAAACAGAGCTACTTTCGCATTTCATATATTATTATGTAGGTTCTTGTGATATTACTTTGTTTTATACAAAGACCATGGACCTATAAAAAAAGGCGGACGGAACTCGCGCTACAACATAACTGTGACGCAAAATTTTGGCGTTTGTCTATTGTGTGAGTGAATTTAGGGATGCCATGTTAGCCAAAACATTTTACCCATTTATTTTAAGAAAAACATAGATCGGCAGATTTTACTTGGAAATGTAGACAGAATTTGAAAAGGATGAAAGGTGAATGCGTTGAGGTAGGCGCGAAATTTTCAATGTTCAAATTTTCTTACATTGTTTGCAAGTTAGTTACAGGGTATGTACTTAATGTTGATCAAAAATGATTCAAGCAGTTACAAATTACGAATCTTGTGTACAATCATAATCTTATGCATCATCAATATAATTATTATTATATTATCTCTGATAGATTTTAACATACAATCTGACACTGACTTGCAATCAATGTAAGAAAATTTGAATTTCGCAGTTCCACATTTTTGGGAAGGATCAAATCTGCCTATGAAAATATATCCCATTAAAACACAATTATTATGATAAATTATTTTTTTTCTATAGTATGCGTAATAACTAAAAAGTCCTAAAATTATTATTAATTTCCCATATTTCGGGTAATTTTCCCACGTAAATAACTGAGAACACTGGTCTTTGACGTATTATTTTTTCGAATGAATGACGTTTGATTTCAATTAATTTCAATATTTTAATGTCGGGAAATAAGTGATTGGATTATTATTTTACCTGTGAAATGTGATTCCTTAATTTTTGTTTGTTCGAACAGAACGGTTTTTACACAATTTCATCACACAAGACATGTCGTATTCGTGTTGTTTTTTCGCCGCCTAAATGTGTCAACTGTGTGAAGTTTGCACTCGAAGTGGTGCGTCAGGGTTTGAATGTGTGCGTGTCGGCCTGTACGTACAGGTAAGCTGGTGTATCCTAATGTCACAGTATTTTGTTGATGAGAATCCGTCCGACTTTTTTTATAGGTCCATGACAAAGACTTGAGAAGGTCTGACGAAACGAGATGAGTTTTTATCATATATTTTTTTACCAAGATATAAAATACAGCAAGGTTAAAATCTCAAAGTATAATAAATTCAACATAACGTATTAAGTCCGGCAGCACACAATAGGATTCCTGCCGACCCGATGTCCTTTACAAAGGACTGCCTCGTATCAGGTATTCCGTAATAAAATATTCTGAATGCGATGTGGTTTTATTTGAAAATCACAATTGTGCAGGAATATTTGGAACTGGTGGTTCTTGAGATTCGAATGAGCCCATTCTTTTAATATTATAGATAATTTTGATTTGCTAATTTCAGACGCTTATAGTCCAGTCAACGCCAGTGACCATATTTGCAGATGCACTCGCTGCTGTAAGTAGGTATGTAGTGTTAGCGGGTTAAATCGAATCTACGCATTCCATCACTATTCAATCGATGACTCGTGCACTTCACTACGATCTGTCACTTGACTTTCGGTACCTCTAGTACGAAAAACTTTCGAGTTCGTTTCGTTGCGTATTCAAAGTGTCATCGAAAAATTTTGTATGAAAAATTAAACAGCGCCCCCTAGGGCGGCTATAATATAGGGGGCGCTGTTTAATTTTTCATACAAAATTTTTCGATGACACTTTGAATACGCAACGAAACGAACTCGAAAGTTTTTCCTACTAGAGGTACGGTATTTTCGCGCGTATATTTATGCTAAATGTTTTCTTGTTCAGGTTTGCTAATAAATGTGGTTAATAAGTAAATTCAGTCTTTATAGAGTTCAGAAGTGCGATCAGTACCCTTAAACTATATTAATTTGTACGATCTGTTGCGAGTTTCAGTGTGTAATGTGTATGGGACGCTACCTACAAGTTGATGAAAAGTACTTTATTTCTTGTACATTCTACTTAAATGGATGTTGTTCAGTGAAAACGGCATACTTAGTGTTCTAGTACGTCGTGTGTATTTATAGTTTTCTGTGACATTGAATGCAAAACTGATGTGTGAAAAAGTACTACTACAAGCATGTTGTGACAAGTTTCTGTGGTGACTTTGGTTTTGTTGGTGAAATATTTTAGGGTCAGGAATAGCTGCTGTCCTGTTCAAAGTCAATAGATCTTGTTAAAAAGGTCTTGAGGTGAAGGGTTGCATGTGCATAAATAACACCTCTTGAAGGTGCAATCATTGTTCCTGCTTATCGGTGAGCTGTATCATTTTGGACTATTGAATTTTATTTTAAATAATAACATTAAAGTGCAGTGGAACTAGTCAGTACAGAACATTTTGTGTGCAATATAAACTTATTTCAGAGTTTTATTGTGTGTTGGACACTTAAAAGATTTGAACAATTTATATTGACAAAACTTAATTTTCATTTTTCTAATGAATGATGGTCATTGTAGTGACTAACTTTTGATTGCATTTTATTGAACTATATGTGCTGTTAGTATAACAATTGTGTGCATGTGATTTTTTGTGTTTTGGTTTTGGTTACTTGTGTAATAATGGGTCGGTCAAAACATAGTAAACGGTCACATAGTTCAAGTTCATCCTCTTCACCTGGTAGAATAAAGAAGAAGTATAAAAGAGATCTGAAGGATAAAGACAAGCGTATTGATGCCCTGGAGGGATTGATTAGAGAGTTACGGAAAACAAGTAATTATCATAATGAATCAACACCATCCCCGCCGGTTTCTGTTTCATCAGTGGCATGGGTGCCAAAGACTAATTTTAGTGAGGCAATATCAAAGCCAGTTGTGCGTTATGTGGGGCGTAATGACTTCATACCTGAGTTCAATCCACAAACTACATCGGTCTCTGTAGAACATTGGATTAGANGAAAGCCATGTCTCCGCCCGTTGAAGACCTACCTTCGGAGAGACTAGCGCATCACCTACGTCGTTTACTTGCGTGGGGTTAGATTGCATGGGTCCAGTTCTCATCACAGTGGGCCAAAGGCATGAGAAACGTTGCACGATCGCACTCTTCACCTGCTTGACTGCGAGAGAGGTTAATTTGGAGCTGGTGGCCAGTTTTTCGACAGACAGCGCGCTTATGGCGTTGGAGGTTTTATTGCACGACGCGGCGCTCCATTGAAGATTTTTCCCGACAATGGGACAGCTTTCATCGGCGTTTCCAACATATTGAAGTCCATGGCAGAAGCTGGAGCCAACCCTGGCATTTCTTGGTCCTTTCAACCGCCAGTGGCTCCGCACATGACGCCACGTAGAGACTGCCTTGTATGCCATGCTCTGAGAAAAGCAGAAGCTCTTATTAATAGCCGCCCACAGCCCACTGCAGAGATACCAGCCGGCCCCGATTCATGCCATCTTAGGTGCTTCATTCCCATTCCATCCAGGCTGATCCACCTGTCGGTGCACCCCTAGAGTAGTGTGGCTTCGCCACAGGAGGGGAGGATGTTGGGAACCGATTGGTGGACCAACCTCTTTTTTATATTGTCTATGTTTTTTATACTTTTTTATTACTTTTGATACCTTTTGTTTAGTTTGAAGTTGATGTTTTTTGATAGCCGTTGTGGGCATTTATTGCTGAAATATATCTTCTTTTTAACCGAAGGTTTTTCTTATTTCCGCACGCCCGAGCGGCTGTCCGCAACAGATTCGAAATTTAGAAAGCACCGCTAAGATGCATGGTTGGGATGAGCGTACCTTAATTTGTAATTGTACTGCAAAGTTGAGTGGTTATGCTAAGGGATGGTATGAGCAACAAGCATCATATGAGATTAGTTGGATTGAGTGGAAGGAAAAATTAATAAAGGCTTTTCCTTTCACTAAAAATAAATTATCACAAATCAGGGACTTAGTGAATCGAGTCCGGTTGCCTAATGAAGAGCCTATAGAATTTTATTACAATAAATTGGGAATAGGTATGTCATGTCAATTAAGTGATGAAGTGATCACGGAAGCCATCATTGGTACTCTTGGCAACAAATTATTAGAAGTTGGTGCGAAGTCAGCTGGGTGCCGAGACACTGCCTCTCTTCTCCAATATTTGGCCAGTATCAATAATTTAGATGCTAGTGTAGAACAAGACCAACCTGTGACAGCATTGAGAAGTGTCAGTTCTAACAAAAATATAAAATGTTTTGTTTGTGGCAAATTAGGTCACAAGGCAAGTAGATGTCGTAAGAGCAAGGAACACAGATATANTTGGTTCAGTGTTTGCCTTAGGGGCCTAACAGCATTGGTTCAGTGCTTGCTTTCGGAGCCTAATAGCATCTGTTCAATGATTGCCTTTGGGGCCTAACAGTCTTGGTCTAGTGCTTGCCTTAGGGGCCTAACAGCATTAGTTCCGTGCTTGCCTTAGGGGCCTGCCAGCACTAACTCAGTGGTTGCCTTCGGGGCCTTGCCACTATCAGGCCACTCTCTTCCTTGAGAGGGGTTGACATCTTTCTTGGACATCGTGGTGACAAGGCGTGATGTACGAGGACCGCTGCGACGTGGTGGTGGTGGAGCCTGCAGACGCTGCTGCTCCGAAGGTCATCTTCGGAGGACCGAAGATGTTGCAGGATGGCCGAGTTGTTAGCGGGTTAAATCGAATCTACGCATTCCATCACTATTCAATCGATGACTCGTGCACTTCACTACGATCTGTCACTTGACTTTCGGTATTTTCGCGCGTATATTTATGCTAAATGTTTTCTTGTTCAGGTTTGCTAATAAATGTGGTTAATAAGTAAATTCAGTCTTTATAGTAGGTACGTCAAGCCGTAAGATATAATAGTATTTATGTAGTTACTACATTGAAAAAAGCATGTAAACTAATTAGTAACCTTTTTCTTTTTTGAACCCGGTTAAAATTGTGCATTTATCTCCAATTTTTCTGCGCTAAATAAAGTTGCACGATCAAATCCAATATTTGTTTAGACTAATAAATAGTTCTTACAAATCGTCATTTTGCTCTTAAGGAAGCGTACCTATATAGTATGGCTGTTATAGCTAGCGATATCGACAGCTATAACAGCCATACTATTTACCATTAAATCTTCGCTATTACTCGATAGGGAGGCGCCGTTGGCTAAAAAACACGGATCACCAGACCCAAGCCGCTAAAATGCTGTGGGCGGTTGCTATATGCAATAAATTAAGAAAACAAATGAAGAAACTTTATCTGTTTACTCTCGCAAGAAAAATAGAGCCCGGCAAAGATTGAGGTTGCCTCCTCACTACAGCATCGTAAAAAATAAATGCCAACAAACTATTTCTCTTGAACCCCAAATAAATGAGAACAACACGGAAAGAACAAAACTTCGTTCCTGTAATCATTAGGTTTGAGAAAATCTTTTCCTCTGTTTCAGGAATTCTTTGCAGCTTTTATGATTTCAGTTGTTTTAAACTTTATTTAGTAAAGTGTACGAGTAACTTGACATTGAAGGCTTTTTGAAATTATTTTAAACCTAAACGCAAATGAATGAAACGTGGAAAAAGAACAAAAATGTAAGACCAAAACGTTTGAATAAATCACAAGACTTTTTGGTTATTGACGAAATCTAAAAACTCATAAAAAACCCCGAACAATTAACACATAAAAAGTAAAAAAGCCTATGCTCCTACCATTACATTAAGGGGCTCATCACGATTTCCAAACAGCTAATATAGGGCTTCATGACGTCATTTAATCTCCTTAAACATCTACGACAATGTCCTATTTCTCAAATAATATAACAGACTTCCTTATCGACATGACAAAAGAAGAAAGCCATTGCATTCGATAGACTTACCATTAATAAAGACCATAACGCCGTAACATTTCAATAACCCGATATGGAGTCTAAAGGAATCAGTCGACAAATACCATTTTTGTGGATATAAAAGATGAAATATTACCAGCACTCTATTCAATGGAGGACAGTGAAAATAATGTTGGGAAATCAAATAAATGACTCCATTTTGTTTCCAGAATTCGTTTCAATAAGCCCCGAACGAATCATAACGTTTTTATAGACCGATTGGGCTTAGGAGTAGGGTGGCCATTGGAAATTAGATTTTGTATAATTTAGGTCAATTGAAATTAGCCGTGTTAGATCTTTGACCCTAAATTGGACCAATGCAAAAAGGAATAGCAAGTCTTTGACTTTTTTCTATCAATAGGTGTTTGGTCGCATGAAGACGACGAGGCGAGGTACAATTTATTTATTACAATTCCAGTTTATTAAGGACTTTGCATATTTGAATCAACCAGGTTGTGCGTCAGAAAATAATGACAGTCGCAATTATTAAGCCGTTGGAACGAGTCAACCAATTATGACGTCCACGGCGGTGGCATCAGGATTACACTAGGATTTACTTCAATTTACTTCTTTACATTTTCAATTTGTTCAAATTAGTAAAAGCCCTTAACAAAGTTATTTTCAAGTTATTAAAAATGTTGTTCGAGATATTGTGTTGTGATTCTTAGGCTAAGTTGTACCACCTAACTTTATGCGTACTAACTATAAAGATGACTGGTGTTTTTTGTATGGAGTTTGACAAATGTTTGACGTTTTTTAAAGTTAAAGTAAAATGGTGTAATCCGGCCTTAATATTAATAACTCTCTTTTGACTGACTCTTAACTTTAATAACCATAGATATACAAAGGTAGGACAGTGGTAATAAGAAACAAATGCTATCTCTATACACCACGAGTATTTTTTAAGATGTTCATTAAATTATAAGCTTTGTAATGACAGTCCCATAAAATCCTAACAAAATTAACCGCATGGAGAACCTACTAAATGCTAGAGTGATTATGTGCCTCTTTGTATAAATAATAGCATACACCGCTTGGGAAACCAGAATCGATTTTGTTAGTATATTTATACGGCAGGACCATAAATATATCATATATGGCTATTGATGGGCAGAATTTTATTTATTACAGGAAAAATACCATTCATAACATAATAATATGTATCTAATAGGTAAGTGCGAAAGAGGAGTAAAGTAAAACAAAAACACGAAAAGATAGAAACAAGACAACTACAATTTTATTAATGCAGTCGGAGATATCAAATACAATGTCAGCAACAAAAGAACTCAATTCAACCAAATGTTTTATGAATGGTAAATAAATTAAGGCTGAGTTGCACCAACTTACTTTAACCGTGACTATAATAATAACCGTTGTTTTTTGTATGGAGTTTGACAGATTTTTGACGTTTGTTTCTGTCAAAGTAAGATGGTGCAACCCAGCCTAAGTGATCTTATGGCATCTATCTCATCCCGATGTACAAGTGTTCAGTAGTTTAATTATGTTAGTAATGTCTTGATATCTAGATTAATTGTTGTCACAATATGTTTAATATAAATGTGACCATTCACTGATTTTCAGGGCGAATTAGTAGGTATTAAAAAAATATTCTTTACTATAACCTACACAGTATCCCAAACAAATAAATTAATTAAAACCCAAGTGCCGCGAATTGTGGAAATGGACATAAGCCGGATACTGTGGTTACTCCACAATAACACTCCATGTGGTTTCATTAATACATTAATTTAATTTATTAGTGCTAGTTACCTAACATCATTGTTATGCTCACATAATTTAGTACATACCATTCATGGTCAGTGATTTTAAACGAATAATATTAATTGAAAAAGGAAATGCACTGAATTAATGGAATTATTGATTTAAATAATGGAGTTTATTTTTAAAGTTTAAAAAAGTAATAATGTGTTAGAATATTGTTAGATTCAAAAAATCCCTTTGATTCAATATAAAATCTTAAAGACGACACATGGAATTCCATACCTATAACGTCAACCCTGTCACAGATGACAATTAAATAATTGAAACCAAGAAAGAGGATGAAAGGTACCTAATCTATTAATTTTTAGAATGTTTATTTATAAATCCAGACAAAGGAACAACTAGACATCATCACTATTATCATAATTTCAGCCATAGGACGTCCACTGCTGAACATAGGCCTCCCCTAATGACATCCACATCGCACGGTTGTTATCGGCCTGCTATCTTTACGAGATCAAATCAAAAATGAGGAGATACGTAAACGAACTAAAGTCACTGACATAGCCCGACGGATTAGCAAGCTGAAGTGGCAATGGGCAGGGCACATAGTACGCAGAACATGGATAAAAGCAAAAATACACTTTAATCTAAGACAAGAGCTACAACTATAAAAAAGCACACATCTAACTGTCAAAAGTCTCGAAAACTATTAACAGTTCTTGCCAAACTTTTACTATTAACACAGAGGGGGTCGACCAAAGTGATAAAGTTCCGAGTGGTCACTAGACAAAACTTTATAAAAAGCTGTAGATCTTCCAGAGAAGTCGTGTAGTGTGCTCCAATACTTTCTATCGTATGTGTGTACACTCTACACTTTTGGAATTTAATTAAAGAACGGCATGTTCCTACAATTGTCTATAGAATTGCCCACTAGGTGGACTGAAGATCTAGTTAAGGTCACGGGAAGTGCCTGGATTTGGGTGGCGCAGGACGGGTTGTCGTGGAACACTTTGGGTGTGGCTGTCTCCAGCAGTGAACGTCACTTGGCTGTTATACTGGAGACGTTATTTTGACAGACACTACGGCTGAGTTACACCACCTAACTTTAACGGTTACTATAACGATAACCGGTGTTTTTGTATGGAGTTTGACAGATTTTTGACTTTTGTCAAAGTTAAGTAAGATGGTGCAACTCAGCCTAAGTCTATATTCAGTGTGACAGCACATTAACAATACAGAACGTTAACAATTACCTTCAATATTGATACAATGGTTCGACATTGCGATAGCGCGACAGCATGATGGATCGACATTCAATAGTTCGATACAACGTTAGATTAATATCGAAATAGACTAGTCCTTTTGTCTATGCAGACACTATCGAACACACAATTACTGTAATTCAGAAATTATATTAATAAAAAAATTAATCCACTAATGTTGATTTTATGACAAACTGGCTTTGGCAATATTATATTTAACTAGCGGCCGCCCGCGACTTCGTACGCGTGGATCCCGTTTTACCCCCTTAAGGGTTGAATTTTGCAAAATCAAGTCTATTTGAGATTAGCACATGTAGTTTCTGAGATTTCGTGAGTCAGTCAGTCAGTGACCTTTAGGTTTTATAGATTAGATTGCCTGTTTAGAGTGTTAAATTATGCAGGTATATGAAAACCTGATCTACCGGTACTAAA